TGTAAAATATATATATATATATATTTTTTTTTTTAGAATTAACTCCTGAAGAAAAAGCGCAAAAAATTGCAAGGACCATGCGCACACAGTCCATGGAGGTGAAGGAGAGGTGGGAAAACCTGAACTCGCAGGCTGGCAGTTGGCAAAAGCAAGTGGAGAAGGCTTTGGAGAAACTGAAGGTCTTGCAAAGTGCAATGGATGATCTTGACTCGGAACTGATGGCAGCAGAGGAAGTGCGAAATGCCTGGAAGCCAGTGGGAGACTTATTAATCGATTCATTGAAGGAACAAATTGAAAAAACAAGTGTAAGGATATTGTTTATATATTTATATAGCAAATAACAACTTACCTGATTTTGGCAGTTTCTGATATTATTAGATTGTACTGGTTACATAGGTTCTTAGTTTGGGTCGAAAAAAGACCATTAGATTTGGTCTTCACAAAAAAAATAAAATATAAACTTGCATCCTTAGAAACCATAGTCTATCATGGGAAAGGAAAACAACTGGGCTATTTTGGGAACAGGGAAAAAAGGCTTTATTAATGGGCTTAGACTTAGTCCACTCTGAAGAGACAATGTTGTTAGGATACTGTACATGTGTTCTAAAGACAGTAAGGATAATTTATCAACACTGGAGCAGACAGAATCTGAAGTAGTTGCCCATGGCAACCAGTCAACTTCTATCTTTCATTTTCAAAGATTAACTAAACAAACTGAAGAGAGAAGCTCATTGGTTGCAATGCGTAATGGTTCCAGATTCTGTCTGCTCCAGTTTTGATAAATTCTCCCCATTGTCTTTTTAAAATAGTATCAGTTGAATGGAATCCTTTCTTTCTTGCAAAGCTAGAAGTGCTTCTAGGATCTACTGCATCCGTCCAGGTGTGTTGGATTCCTACGTCTTCTCGCTATGTGCTCAACAGCCTCTAGGTCACTAATGTGTCTTTTGACAGCTGCAGGGTCACCCTAGTAACAGAGTGCTTGACATGTGGAACCACAGCCTTCCATAAATCCAATATAGTTTTGGTTTACGAAATACTTTTCCATTGTGCATAGTGTCTTTGCAATAGGTAAGAGTAATGTGTGAGTCGTACTTTACTCTCAATCTGGATATGCTGCGACAAAATAACATACTTATACTGTCATAAAAGCAGCCTGATCAGTGCCACATCTTAATTCTTGTGAACTGTTTTAAATATTTCTAGTGCTACCAGTATACAATATTGCTCTGACTTATTTGGCAGAATATTTTTTTAAAAATTAGCAAATCCCTGCAATATCTTAAATCCTGTCCGAGACGGTTTCATTTAGAAATGACAAATATTGTAAATGAAACTATAACTATGTATATTTAGAATAAGGTTCCCAATCATAGGCGTGCGCAGGGAGTGTGTCTGGGCACACCCTAATCACCCACAGTGCAACACTGAATCCGCAACAGCAACACTGTGCTTTTAGTCACTGAGATCTCTCGGTGACCGGCTCAGCGGCTACAGAGCGCAGCAGCACTCACCACTTACATGCCTTACATAACAGCCACAGTCCTTGGTGCCTGGGAAGCTGCGAGGGAATCCAGGATGCCTCAGGTCTGTGCATGTACTATGTACTGTATGTATTATTGATATATATATATATATACATATCAATGTATTATATATAAAAGTTTTGGGACATCTGCCTTTACACGCACATGAACTTTAATGGCATCCCAGTCTTAGTCCATAGGGTTCAATATTGAGTTGGCCCATCCTTTGCAGCCATAACAGCTTCATCTTTACTGGGAAGGCAGTCCACAAGGTTTAGGAGTGTGTCTATGGGAATGTTTGTCCATTCTTCCAGAAGCGTATTTGTGAGGTTAGGTACTGATGTTGGACGAGAAGGCCTGGCTCACAGGTGATTTGTCTGGTTGAGGTCAGGACTATGTGCAGGCCAGTCAAGTTCCTCCACCCCAAACTCGCTCATCCATGTCTTCAAGGACCTTGCTTTGTGCACTGGTGCGCAGTCATGTTGGAACAGGAAGGGGCCATCCCCAAACTGTTCTCACAAATTTGGCAGCATGAAATTGTCCAAAATGTCTTGGTGTGCTGATGCCTTAAGAGTTCCCTTCACTGGAACTAAGGAGCCAAGCCCAACCCCTGAAAAAAACCCCCACACCATAATCCCCCCTCCACCAAACTTTACACTTGGCAAAATGCAGTCAGGCAAGTACCGTTATCCTGGCAACTGCCAAACCCAGACACGTCCATCGGATTGCCAGACAGAGAAGTGTGATTCGTCACTCCAGAGAACACGTCTCCACTTCTCTAGAGTCCAGTGGTGGTGTGCTTTACACCACTGCATCCAACGCTTTGCATTGCACTTGGTGATGCAAAGCCTTGATGCAGCTGCTTGGCCATGGAAACCCATTCCATGAAGCTCTCTACGCACTGTTG